CAGTGTATTACAACAACATCAGAACAGCAGTAGTGTTGACCTGGGAGAAGTACACCTGTGTTTGTTCATTTATTTAATCCCAAAATAATTGTTGAGTGCCTGCTATGTGCCAGGCACCTGCCAGACCCTTGGGCAAGATAGGCAGAGCATCTGCTGTTTGGGAGCTTCACGTTGAGTTGGGGCAGGGAGTTGGGGGAAGCTGGGAAATAAGTAAAACTGATAAACAAGACCATTTCAGAGCCAAGGAAATATGTAAAACAGAGCAATGGGGCAGGGGCTGCCCTCGAGGTAATGCTGTGAATGGTCTGCCTGAGGACAAGGAGGAGCCCACCCTGCATATATCTGGGAGATCATTCCAGGGTGCACACGTCTGGTGGCAGGAGTGAGTTAGACAGGGTCAAGAAGGAGGATCTGTCCTGTTGGAGCAGAGCGCAGGGAAGGGACAGGAAGCATGATGGGAGCTAGACACACAGAGCTGGACCCTGGAAGGAGTTAGGGTGTACTTTTATACACTTTGATATCTCAAGCGAGTAAAGTTTTGCTAAAGGTAATACAGAAATGGCTACAATCATACATTGACAGAGACCTTCCAGAGGTTCAAGCTGGATTCAGAAGAGGCTGTGGAACGAGAGATATCATTGCTGATATCCGATGGATCTTGGCTGAAAGCAGAGAATATCAGAAAGATGTTTACCTATGCTTTATTGACTGCGCAAAGGCTTTCAATTGTGTGGATCATGACAAGCTATGGGCAACATTGAGAAGTATGAGTATTCCAGAACACTTAATTGTACTTCTGAGAAATCTGTACCTGGACCAAGAAGCAGTTGTTCGAACAGAGCATGGGAACACTGAATGATTTAAAATTGGGAAAGGTGTGTGACAAGGTTGTGTTCTTTCACTATACTTATTCAACCTGTATGCTGAGCAAATAATACGAGAAGCTGGGTTCTATGAAGAAAAATGTGGCATCAGGATTGGAGGAAGACTCATTAACAACCTGCGATATGCAGATGATACAACCTTGCTTGCTGAAAGTGAAGAGGACTTGAAACATTTACTGATGAAGATCAAAGAGCACAGCCTTCCATATGGATTACAACTCAATGTAAAGAAAACAGAAATCCTCACCACTGGACCAATAAACAGCATTGTTATCAATGGAGAAGAGATTGAAGTTGTCAAGGACTTCATTCTTCTTGGATCAACTATCAACACTCGCGGAAGCAGCAGTCAAGAGATCAGACGACGTATTGCATTGGGCAAATTTGCTGCACTGGAACTTCTTAAAGTGTCGAAGAGCAAAGATGTCAGCTTGAGGACTAAGGTGCGCCTGACCCAAGCCATGGTATTTTCAATAACCTCATATGGATGCGAAAGCTGGACAGTGACTAAGGAAGATCGTAGAAGAATCGATGCCTTTGAGTTGTGGTGTTGGAGGAGAATACTAAAAGTGCCGTGGACTGCCAAAAGAACCAATAGATCTGTTTTGGAAGAAGTGCAGCCAGAATGTTCCTTGGAGGCTAGGATGGCTAAGCTTCATATCTCATACTTTGGACATATTGTCAGAAGGGACAGTCGCTGGAGAAGATGTCATGCTGGGTAAGATGGAGGGTCAGAGAAAAAGAGGAAGACCCCCAACGAGATGGATCGGCCAAGTGGCATCATTGATGGCATCAAGTGTGGCGGCGGTAGTGAGGTTGGCCTAGGATCGGACATTGTTTCATTCTGCTGTGCGTGGGGTCGCTATGAGTTGGTTCCTTCTCGATGGCACCTGACAACAACAACATTTATACATTTCGGGTAGTAGGAAATGGTTGGGAAGTTTTAAGCAGGTTAAAAACAGTTTCAGGCTGCTGTGTAGAAATGGAATGTGTTAGGGAAGTAGGGGTCAGGGAAGCTAAGAGACCAATTAGGAGGCTAAGGTTGTTGTGTCAGGAGAGATGGTGGTCAGGATGGGGAGGCAGCCATGCATTCTGGGAGAAGAGTTCTGATTTGGAGGAGCTCTGGAGGGAGAGCTGCAGAGTTTGCTGATGGATTGAATATGTGAGTGGGTGGGTGAATGGGTAAGTGGAAGAGTGTAAGAGAGAGCGAGCACGCCAGAGGAAAGGCTCCTAGGTTTTTGCTACATGGTTGGTCACCAAACTAAACCAAATCCACTATTGTCAAGTCAATTCCAACTCAAAGCAACCATAGAGTTTCCAAGCCTGTCTATCTTTACAGGAGAGAAAGACTCGTCTTTCTGACGTTGAGAATTTGAACTACTGACCTTGTGGTTCACAGTCTAGTGCTTATCCTAAAGTGCCACTGAAACTCCTTCCATGATTGGAACCATTTCTGAGCTGGGAGAAGCCTCCATCTGGGGAAAGTGAATTCAGGATTCCATGTTGGGCATACTGAGGTTGAGATGTCACATAGAGTTTGTCTGAGTTGTCTAGTACTGCTATAACAGAAATTCCTCTAGTGATTGGCTTTACCAAATTTAGGAGGATAGGAGTCTAAATTCAGGGCACAGCTTCAGGGAAGGCTTCCTGTCTCTTTCTCGGCTCTGTGGAAAGGTTCTTGTCATCAATCTAACCCCAACCCAGCCAGATTGGCACATATATGGGGCATCGATTCAGCCTGTGGCTAATGCCTAGCAAGAGAGGGCAGTAGTCACTGGGGAGGGCAGCATTAGAAATAAAAATAATTGGGAATTACCTACACAGGAGTTGTATTTAGAACTTTGAGCCTTGATGAGACCATCTAGTGGGATAGTATAGTAAAGTCAGAAGGCCCAGATGGAAGCTGGGAGCAGCCCAGCTGTTGAGAAGACACCAACCCAGGAGCTAGGGAGGTGCTGCTGCGAGGTAGGAGGGAAGGCAGGGGCCGCAGAGCCATGGTGGCCCAAGGATGAGCGGCCAGCTGCACAGATTCTGCTGGGCAGCTTCGCCACCAGGGGATGGCGGAGATTTCCCATTGGATTTGTCCATCCATGGCACCCTACTTAGTGACCATGTGATCTAATATCCAGACCAGAGCACTTTTTGAGGAAAGAGGGAGCTGTTTCTGATTGAGTACACTGGGACAGCGGGTGTGAACAAGCAGGGATGCTCTGTCCTCCTCGTTACTGGGCCTTTGGCAGCATGGGCTCCCATGTGGAGGTAGAGACAACCTGGCTGGAGGGCTGGAGAGAGAACGGGAGAGAATCAGTGGAGACAGGAGGGGACTCGCTGTACATTTAGCGGACAAGTCCCACAACAACACGGATGAACCTCAAAATAATTACGTTGTTGGTTTAGCTGTTGTCAAAAGGATCAGGCCATTATTACAATAATCTGCAGGGTTTTCATTGGTTGGTTTTCTAGAGTTGATCACCAGGCCTTTCTTCCTAGTCTGTCTTAGGCAGGAAATACCAGTAAAGCCTCTTCAGCATTATAGCAGTGCATGAGCCATCAGTAACAGATGCGTGGTAGTGTGCATGAGGCAGTTGGCCAGGAATCAAACCTGAATCTCCTGCCTCATGTTCGTGGTGGGGGTGGTGGTGTGCTGTGGAGTCGGTTTCGACTCATAACGACCCTGCATAGGGTTTCTGAGGCTGTAAATATTTATGGGAGCAGAAAGCCTCATCTTTCTCCCACGGAACTGCTGGTAGTTTTGAACTGCTGACCTTGAGGGTAGCAGCCTGACTTATAACCACTACACTACCAGAGCTCCTTGAGTTTCCTGCCTGGAAGGTGAGAATTCTGCCTGCTGTTGCCTACATGCTATAGAATTGCATTCATATAAGAAAATGTAAACTAATCGATTGTGACAGAAAGCAGGTTGGTGTTGCCTGGGGTTTGGAGAAGGGAAGGATTACACAAGGGTACTAGGAAACTTTTGGAGGTGGTGGGTGTGTTTGCTATCTTGATTGTAGTGATAATTTCATGGGTGGATACACATATTCAAACTTAGAAACTTGTATGCTTTAAATATGTACAGTGCACATAAAGCTGTAAGAAAAAAAGGGTTTGCTGTAGGATCTCAGGAGAAAGTATGATTTTAGTCTAAGCATGAACAGAGAAGCACTGAATACTTGCATGATACAGGACAGGAATGCTAGAGCCTAGAGCTGGACCCTTTTATGAAGTCCTGCCCAGAGGTTTAGAATTCATCCCCTCAGCCAAGGTCTCACCTGGAGAGCCTGTTAAAAGGCTGAGATTCCTTAGCAGAACCCCCTTCAGACTCACCTCTGATTGCAGGTGGAACAGCACCTGGGCATGGGGACTACCCACCTCAACTGCTCAGCTTGTGCACAAGGCAGAGGGGACATGGGCAACCTTCACATACAGGGGATGGCAGTCAGTGGATAATCACTCCCATCTCTTGAAAGGCACGCCTGAGGAGCATTCTGAATGGCTCTTGAGTGTCCCTGTGTGATAGTCCCAGTTGCCCAAAGCAATAAGCAGTTCTAATACTTTGGGGGGTTTCTCCAGTCCTGTCCTATCTTGCTCTTCCCCACTCCGTCTTGGAATCACCTGCCAAATAAACTACCCACACCTCAGTCCTTGTCTCAGGCTCTTCTTCCAGGGGATCCAAAGCCTGATGCGGCTGAGCCCAAGGCCTCCCCACTCTCTGTGCCTAGCAGGCTTCCTTGACACGGACAGCCCAGAGCCATCTGGACATGGCCGTGATGCTGAAAGCACCACTGAAGGGCTTTACAAGGCGGGGTGACTGGGCCCCATTTGCTCTTGTAGAAGATCAACTCTGGTGCAATGTGGAGACAGGAAGCAGGAGACCAATTAGTAGGCCATTACAAATGTCCCAACAGGAGGTCATAATGACAAGGCAGCCATTGAGGCCACTGATTTATAGCGTATGTAACGGTTCACACAGAAACGGGCCAAGTCTCATTAACATCTCCAGTGCTGTAGTTGGAGAAAGCTCACGTTTCTAGCATTTCACGTTCTTCTGTTTGGAATCTTCTACAACACCACATGTCTAACAGCACACATCTTTTTTTTGTCTTGTGGTTTCAGGATCTTGACATTGGTGCCAAGAACGTGAAGTTGTATGTCAACAAAAGCCTTGTCTTTGATGGCAAATTAGACAAAGGTGGCGGAGAGGCTCCAGCTGACCAGAGCATCGCAGTGGACCTGAAGACTGAGAAGGATGAGTGGACACAGAATGCCGCCAGCGCTGACTCAGAAGAGAACAAAGATGCCCACAAGCTGGCTGGTGCAGATGGGGACCAAGAGCTCAGTCTCAATTATGCGCTACCAGCTGGAGCGTTATTGGATGTGAAGGTTTCTTCACAGGGAAGTTTATTTGGTGAAAGGAGGAATTCTACTAATTGCATGAAGGACAGTTTACCTGAATTAGAGAAAGGCTTAAGAATGTTAACAGTCCCCATGTTGATGGGTGATGTCCCCAGTGACCCTCCTCCCTCCCCGCCTTTGAAATGCCCTTCTGTTAATGAGGACCTCTCTCTAATCCAACAACTGGAAAACGTCACAGGCAGGAAAATCTCTGAGCCACCAGGCAAAACCCCATCCTGGTTACAGCCTTCTCCCAAAGGGAAAGACAAGAAGTCCAAACCACTTTGGCTTAGTCCTGAGCAGCGGCTGGACTGGAAAGGCCAGCTTCCACCGCAAGATGGTGTTGGTGTGGGTCCTGGAGAGACGGAGACTGAGTGGGCAAACAGTTGGAGTGTCATCGCAGGGGACAGGCTCCAGAGGATAAGCCCCAGGGTATCTGGAGACGATCTAGACATCTTCAACCTGCCTTCCAACAGAGAGCGTCCTGCGAGTGGGAGGAGAGGCCCACGGAAGGATGCCCTCAGTGGTAGTCATGATGATGACCAGCCAGCCAGCAGAGGTAAGTACTGGAAGCCATCTGAACTTGGTGCCATCCTTCTTGTGTGAGGGCCACTAATGGGCAGCATCCCGGACTTCAGTTTGAACCATAAGGTCGGGGATTCCAAATCACCAAGCTGCTCCTTGGAAACCCTATACAGGGTCTCTATTGAGTCAGAACTGACTCGATGGCACTTCACAACAACAACTGTGGGTAAAATCAGAAGTCCTGTTGGTGTGGTGGTTAAGTTCTTCACTGCTAACTGAAAAGTTGGCTATTCGAACCTCTTAGCTGCTCTGCAGAAGAAAGATGTGGCCATCTGATTCCTTGGAGAGTTTTGTTGTTATTAGGTGCCGTTGAGTTGGCTTCGACTCACAGCAACCCTGTGCATAACAGAGCACAGCACTGCCTGGTCCTGCGTCCTCCTCGCAGTTGCTACGTCTGAGTCCATTGTTGCTGCGGCTGTGCCGGTCCATCGTATTCAGGGGCTTCCTCTTTTTCTCTGACCCTTGGAGAACCTCCAGGGCAGTTCTGCTCTGTCCTATGGGGTCATTAGGAGTGAGGATCAATGGCAGCAGGTTTGGTTTGGTTTCTTGGTGGGGCCAAAAAACAAATGAGTGAATGACAAAAACAAAAACTAAAAACCAAACACATCTACTGGCAGTGCTACCCTGAGAGCTTTCTGACTTTGCAGTAGATTATTTCTGAGGGCCTTTCCAATCTGAGATGAGGGTGCCAGAGGCTGGGATTTTGAAGATTTGCACTCAGATTTAGTTACTGGGAAGGAGTCAAACCATTTGAATCCAAACTCTGCTATGTATACGTGTGTATACATGTAGGACCTCCAGCTGGGCCTCAGTGTCTTCCTCTGTAAAATGGGAATGACAGCCTTCCATCTCAGTATTGTGAGGGCTATATGGAATGATGGCTTCAAAGCACAGAGCCTGCCACAGGGACAGTGCTGAGCAGGTGGCAGCTATATCTCAGTATTAGTACATACAGCCTTTACCCTCACAAAGCACCCAGACCTACCGAGCCAGGCCGCGGTCCTTGGAGTCTTACCCCCAGCCACACTGCACAGAAGTATAAACTCTGGAGTCAGACTGCTCAGGCATGCATCCTGGCTTCCCCACCTCTAATACACAGACTGGGCAAGTCCTGAAACCCTTCTGAGCCTCAGTCTCCTCATCTGTAAAATGACAGTAATAGTCCCATCTCATAGGGGTACTAGTGGTGTGCCGTGGAGTCGGTTCTGATGCATAGCAACCCTGTATAGGATTTCAGAGGCTGCAAGTCTGTACTGGTAGCTAACCTTACTAGAAGAAAGAAATAGATAAATCTACAATTATAGTGGGAGATTTTAATACACCACTTTCGAAAAGGGACAGAACAACCAGAAAGAAACTTGACAAAGTTACAAAGGAACTAAATAGTACAATCAACGAACTTAACCTCATAGATGTACACAGAGCATTCAACCCAATAACAGAACAATATACATTCTTCTCTAGTGCACATGAAACATTCTCCAGAATTGACCATGTGATAATTCACAAACCAAGCCCCCATATATCTACAAACACCAAAATACTACAAAGCATCTTTTCAGACCACAATGCTATAAAACGAGAAATCAACAATAAGAAGACCAAGGAAATAAAGTCGAATACATAGAAACTGAATAACACCCTGCTGAAAAGCGACTAGGTAAAGAAGAAATTAAATGTGAATTCATAAAGTTCCTAGAAACAAACGAGAATGAAAACACAACATACCAAAAT